TGTAATGGCTATGTCACTGGACTCCCATGTAGTCGACTGTGGTTCAAGTCTCGGACCTGGTGGCTTAAAACTCACACTGGGCGCATGTGCATGTGTGCCCAAGATCCCAAGAGGAGAATGGAGAAGGGATTGTGGCGTGGCTATCCCCCCTGGGGAGTGATTTCTCGCTTTCTGTCTCTCTGTCTCTGTCTGTCTGGCAAGCACACGCGCCCTATAACAAAAACCCCTCCACACACAAAAAAATTAATTGGGAAATGTGACAAAACTCTTCATTATGGTACATACAGGTCCAAATTTTGGGGTTGCAATATAGTCACCATAATTTTCATTGTTGATAAATATTGCCAGCCTACTCAGAGGTGAACTTCAGAAGCAACAGTTCTTAGAAAATTCCATCTCGACTGTCTATTATTCTTAATGTGTCTCCACTTAGACTTCAACCTCTCAAAGACAGGGGAGCAGCTTCTCAGTGACCGCTCAATGATGTTGACTTCTAGAGAACAGGGAGTAGCCCATGAGCCAAACATTAGGTCTTATTGTTTCATCTGAGTATGTGGGAAGAGAATGAGGGAAAGCAGGATGAGAGGTGTGACCTGCTTTACTGATGGCTCCAGACTGACCTGTTGAGCAAATTCTAGCACAATAAGCACTCTCTTGGACTAGCTACTGTGTATATCCTGTGTACCCAAACACTACCAGCATCCCCTACAATAGAGCTTTGGAATCCCAGCTCTGTGTTGCTCCAGATCTACTAGGAAACACTATGTATCTTGCACCCATGCCAGTTGTGTGGCTCTTGACAGGACAGATGGTTCTTCATCTACCTCCAGGGCTACCTGGTCCATGTATAAACAATGTGTTTCCCTCAAAAACACTGACCTCCGTGGAAACCAACTGCTCATTCACAAAAATAAGAGAAGGAAAGGAGAGAGAGGGGCAAAGTAGGTCAGAAGCAGGTGGAAAGATGAAACGAGGAGCTTGGAGTTTGTAACTAAGATGTGACACGCATTAGGTACGACGTTAGGTTACTGAAGCACCAGATGATATTCCAAGATCAAACGAGTCTCTCTTGATTCCTAAAGACACTTAAGTGTCTTGTAAGAGTTTTACTAGATCATTTTTCTTGCCTACTTTAGAAGTCAAGTCCTATTTTTTAAGTGCTTAGCATTTTTATTCCATTAAGCTGAATTAGTGAACTATAAGAAAACCAACTTCAGCCACCAAGTGAGGACCAGTGTGTCGTCTCGGTACACCTTTTGGTAAAGGTCACAAGCTATTTTTTGTTTATTGCATCATAAACATATTCAGTTCATTGTGGATGAGAATCACTTTTTACCACATAACCAATCAGTCAGGGTTACCAAATCAGTAGTCATCTATTTTTTTTTATTATTTTTTATTTAACTTTATTTATTTATTTTAACCTGACCAGAGAAGGAGAGGGGGAGGGAGAAAAAGGGAATGTAAGAAAGCAAGCCGCCAGGTCCGAGACTCGAACCATGGCCGGCCATGTGGGAGTCCAGTGCCCTTAACCACCACACCACCTGCTGGCCCCCCAGATCAGTAGTTATCTTATCCTAAAGTGTTTTGTGGATCAATGACTTTCTACCACCTTCAGAGACTTACTTAACCCATCCTCCTAATCTCCTAGCCCTGACTACATCTAGACTATACTACCGTTCCTACCCACAAAGGGAGAAGTGTAACTATTGGATACGTTACATTTCATATCAGCCAACGAGCCGGTCTCATGCATTTTAATAAAAAAGCTTGTGCGTCTAGCTAGTAGTATATTTAAACGTGGCTGAATCCCATATAGCCAATAGCACGCATGGTTCAAGTCCCAAACCTGGCAGCTTGAAAAATACACGGGCACGTGTGTGTGCCCAGAATCCTGAATGGAGAAATGGAAAAGGGACTGTGGCGTGATCATCTCTCATAGGGGTGGGGAGTAAGGGGTGGAGTGCATTCTCACTTTTCTGTCTTTCCAAGTGCATGTACACTTTGGCAAATAAGAAAACAGAGCCTGTGTGTGTGCACATGCACACATACTGTATACTCAATAGCTAAAACATTACCAATAATAGTAATGTATACTTTCTTGACCTATCTATCCCTTAAAGGTAGATTTCTGAACAAATCACTCCTGAGTGCCACCTTAGAGCTAACCCAAGGCAAACAATCATTTCCAACATTTTATGTTATCATATTTTAAAGTAACTATTTGCTTTACTAGGATGGAAACTGGTTGCACCCTCTCACTCACTGACCCTAGAATTAACACAGCATTTATTTCACAATATTTGTCCAGAGTTTTACTATTGAAACGGGGGGCACGCCCATAAGCAATGTGGATTTCTCCTGGTGGTGACCTAGCCAAAGCATGTCAAAAATGGGTGCCTGTTCAGTCAAGATAATGGAGGAAAAGCAGCACACATACCATCAAGATAAAGGAACGCGAGGTACATTACCTTGAAACACGACTCAGTAATGAGTCTCGGTATCTGTTGTGTACAAATACAAGCCAGTCAGTGCTATTTGTGCATGAAACAAGGCTTTTGAGCAGGAGGGCAATTTCAAAAGGCAACAAACACCTGGTTCAAAACAGGGCTAAGAGTTCACAGCTGCATTTTGAAATCTCGACACACATTTTCATTTTGGGATGTTATCCACATAGGTTTGGGAGCTGTAAAAAGGGAGTGACGTAACAGGACAGATGTGCATGAACTGAGATCCTATTCCCATTTTTAACTGAGAAAAGGGGCCAACTCCTGGCGTGGTGGTTGTATCCCACATGGCTGACTATGTGGTTGTATCCCGGCAGCTTGGAAAACACTGAGCACGTGTATGTGTGCCCCAAATCTCAAGAGCAGAATGGAGGAGAAGGAACTGCAGTGTGGTCATCCCTACTAGGGGGTGATCTCTCGCCTCCCCCCCCAAATGCAGGTGCCCTATAGCAAACTAAAACCAAAAGCAAAACCATCCAGAAGATATATTAATTATGTTATGTGAGCACACTGATCACAGATCCTCTATAAGCCAAGCAGCTGGCAGAGTGACCCAATACAGCGAAAGCTGAGCCTCAGGAACACCATCTATAATAAAAGGAGACGGGGAGTGCAATCATGCCACGAGCTGAGTATATTGAGGGCAAACACTGCCCTCTACTGGCACAGGGTGACTGCTGGTCAAAACGACTACTTTCTCAAGAATCGCTATGTTCACACATAATCCGAAAATAGCTTTCCAAAAATTGGAATTTTTGTGTCTAGGGAGTAGAGATATTTTCAATTAAACTGAAGTATTCACTGAGAAATCTTCAAGTCTCATTGGAAAAACGTTTCAGATCTTCCCCATGAAATCTTGGATGTAACTCATCTGACTGGTGCAAGAAGTATCACTTTCCCTTGGAAATGAGGAACAGCAAAGTGCTCAAGTTCAACACGAGGAAGATTCAGGGGAGCAGATGATGCAGTCAACTGTGACCAGACAATAGGAGCTGGCTTAAGAACTGCTGGGACCACTGAAAGCAGACAGAATGGGCAACAACTCAGCCAATGTCAGAGCTAGCAGGAAAATAAAAACGTCACGAACTGCAAAGTGGTAAACGCTGTATCCTAATGCTCACAGATAGCATCAAGGTAGCTCCAAACATCTTAGTCCTAGGCATCTGTTTATCCACTTGATGGTTTTTTGAAATCCTTTAAGCCACTGTGATTCTTCAGCAGTGTACTGAAATATAAAATGTGGTAATTAAGCATTAAACAACTACAGATGGTGAGAAAAAGCGAGTGGTTAATGTTCTTCCAGAGTCAACTCTGACCTGGGACAAACAACTCCATTAAAACCTAAATTTAAAGGTAGCCAGTAGACAACCAATAACAGCATGCACAAAGAATTTCATTTCAAAGCCAAGGTGTGCTTGCATGTCAAGGAAATTATCTGGCTGACAAGGTAAGCACTAAACAAGAGAAGAAACGGAAAAGAATGAAAGCTCTGGAGCCAGCTGCTGGCGTAGTGGCTAAGGCCACTGGATCCCTGAACAGTTTAAGTCACATGAGAAACACTTTGGGTGAGTATGCTTTTGTGCTTCAAATCCTGAGAATAGAGAAGGGAATGGTGTGGTCATTCCTCTGGGGGAGTCAGTCACCCCCCTTTTCTCTTGTGAGCGCATGCGTCCCATAGCAAAAGTTAAAAAAAAAATGTTGTAATATCTATGATTACCAGCCCACATCTAGAGGGAATCTTGTACCATGTTCTCTGTGTAACATTTAACTTTCTTTTTGAACAGAGAGATGGAAAATGAGAAAGCAAGCCACCAGGCTCAGGACTCAAACTGTGGTTGGCCATGTGGGAGTTAAGTGCTACTTAGCCACTTGCTGTCCCCCATCTAACTTTTTTTAAATATGAGAGATTTTTGCTATAGGGCGCATGTGCTCACCACACAGGCAGAGAAACAAAAGGTGAGAAATCACCCCCGGGGGGATAGCCATGCAGTAATCCCTTCTCCAATCTCCTCTTAGGACCTGGGCACACATGCACATGCACTTGGCATTCAGGACTAACCACAGTCGACTGCATGGGAGCCCAGTGATATAATTTTGCCATCTGCTGGTTCCTTAACTCTTAATTTTAAAAAATGTAGTTCTTACCAGTATGTAAAATTGAATGAGGGCCAGGTAGTGGCATAGTGAAGGTGCTGGACTCTACATGGCTGACTATACTATCTCCTGCCTGCAGCTTGAAAAACATGCCAAGAGCATATGTGTGTGTCCAGAAAACCAAGAGAATGAAGAGTGGCCCCAGAGGGCCCATGCTCTTAAGTATTTAATTTTGAGACAAGACATGCTTTTCTTCTATCAACAATAGGGACAGTCACTGTTAAAAGTTTCTAAATAATTTATTCGGGAAACAGCCCCCCAAAGTAGGGCTGGACTGGAACTGATGATATAAGTCAATGTATTTATTGGCTTTAATAAGAAGTACACAGAGCACACATCTGGGTTATAAAAGCCCTTTTATAAAGCCATTTTTAAACAAAACAAAACAAAAAAGTTTACAAAAGAAAAAAAGATACAGAAAAAGAATAACTTGCTTCATATGTCCCAAAAAGAGAAAAAATAAAGGGGACAATGCCAACATGCTCAACAATAAAGGGTTCTTTTTCTTATTTTTTTAATACAAAATACAAGCAAAGGATACACATACTTAAAACAGAGCTCAGGAGCAGACACGCAGTCCTGGGAACCCTTCAATAAAAGCAAAGCAGGAGTTTGTTTTTTCTTTGTCTATGTAGATACAGAGACTGGGATATGTAAAAATTAAGTATCACAAAAGACCATCACACGATTCTACCAATGCATGTTGCATCTATAATCACGAACATGGTCAACAAAATCATGTTCACTTCAACCCCATTTCAATTAAATTAAAGAAAAAAAACTTTTAAATAAAGTGGTTACATTCAAACTTTCACTTCCTTAGTACCATGCTGCGACCTCAGCACTGTTAAGGTATTGCAAGAATGCCCAACCCTCTGGTGTCTGATCATGAATCTATCAACTTTGCAAGTATGAAGAAAGGGAGGCCCCAGTCTCAATTCATGGACTACTTAATACATTTACACTGGTTCCTCTCTTTTACCCTTCCTGCTTAGAACGTAATAAAAGATTAAGGAATAAAATCAAGGAAGACTGGGAGTTCTAGAGCTGGCAAAGTAAGTCTCAAGGATGAATCAAGGCAAACAATTACTGAGAGCTTGGCTGCTGCGTAACCTGACGAGTCTTAAGTCTTTCCTTAAATCGCACAGGAATTAGGTGTATAAGGTTTGCTGCAACACGTTCATGGTAAACAAACTAAGTAGAGCTCTTATTTACAAATCTTGTAACAAATACTTCTGGAGGAAAAGAAAAAAAGAATTCACTAATTTCCAGAAGACAAAAGGTTTAATTGCCAGACATATATAAACACACACTCACACCCAAACACTCACGCCCACACAATACTTCAGGGGTTTTTATACATGTTATTTTAGGGCATAAGCTGAGTACCATACCCCTACACCCCCCCAAAAAAAATCCCGATTTAACCCTCCTCCCCAATAATCTAGAAAACCCTCCCTTCACCCCTGATGTACAAAGTGTATGCACAACTGTGGCATAGGACCAGCCACACGAAGCATGCTCAAACTGATGTCACCAGTTCAGTCACTCTATTGGCATGGCAACAGGCAGGTTATGAGATTCCCTCCCGCCCCCAGTAGTGGTTATTACACAGTCAGCACCACTGTGAACTCCATGAACTAGATTTGGAAAAAAAAAAATTGTATAGATTTGGGATTCAGAGAGAAATCATGTTGTACTGAGTTATCCAAGACAGAAAAATGGGTTGAGACTGAAACTGGCTATAGCTTAATATCCCAATATTTTAATGGTAAAACAACTCTCCATTTTCAAGTAAACCCAGCTTTACCCACTGAGAAAGTCCAATTTTCTAACCTCAAAAACAACAAGCTTGTTATAATGTCCCTATCCTGTAGCAGGAAATTGTGCATTACTTGTACTGTTTAACTATCTTACTCTAAATGCTATAAAGACCAGAGCCCAGGTTTCTTCCTTTCCAAACTCCTAAGGTGATAGTCTTGTTTTCAGTGCAGCTACTAGTGATGCAGGCTGAGACACGTGGTCATTTATCAAGTTTTCCTGTTGCTCTTGGTGCTAAATTCTGCTCCTGCCTTTCCAGCATCCGCAAGGCATCTCCTATACTAAAGTTTGTTTAAAATAAAGCACGAATCCCTTTACCAATCCCTCTAAAGTCTGTTTGTTACTTCAATGTCCATGGATGAAACAAAAGAACCATTAAAAAAAAAGGGGCGGGAGGTCAAGTTCAGTTCAGCTGGCCATATTCCTAAGTGTTAAAACTTTCCTGAATTACAACCTCAAATTCCATTCTTGATTTGTTATCTGGGGAAAAAAAAAGCTATTTGAACCAGTGCCAAGAAAAAGTATTGAATTGAGGACTGAACTGAGGCACGTACCAGTTATTGTGAAAAACTCAATATTGAAGCTCCTGCAAAGGAAATCAACTACTAAAAGATTTCTATTCATTAATTCCCAAAAGGAGGAAACAGCATTAATTTTCCTTTATGGAATCAATAAAGAGATATAACAGAGGGAGATATTTTAGAAATCAAGACAAATCTACCATTACTGAAATTAAAGCACATCCTTTGAGCCCACTCTGTCAATTTCAATCTGAGGTGAGGAGGGCTAAAAGCAGCAGCAAATGACAGGTTGGATAAGATGTAAGCCACCCATATCTAACTGGGGATGGGGGTTTCTGAGAAAAAGAATCTTAAGAACTAGAATGTAGTGTCAGTCAGCACAGCAGCTGAATCTGTTACAGAGGTGAACAGAGCAGAGAAGATGTCGAGAATTCAGAGAGCACCTTCCAAGTTATCCATGCCTCTCTTCCTGAGCACTGCAAAATAAGACAGTGAATGCTACTGCCATTTCACCACAGGCACACTAGAAAAAGAGGAAGTTCAATCAAGGGCGGTGCCAATGGTCAGTCACTATCAGCTTACAGCTTGCAATGCAGCCAGCAATCACCTTCAAGCCTGACTACAGAGCACCAGTTTCCAGTTGAGTCGCCATAACTACTTGCACGCATGATTTGAGGGGAAGACAAGAGTGTTTCAAATCGTCAATAAAAAGGGGAGTGGGGGGAAAAAAGGTCATCCCGAGCCTCCTGTCCAGTCAATCAGAACTACAAGATATTTTTCAATCTAACGAATTAATTTGAAAAAAGACCCTAAATAAGAAGCCCTATCAAATACACATAAGTAACCTAGAAGACACGATTGTCTCTCAGGTATGTGCATATGTCACAATCAGAGATGTTAATGCAGATTACAATGTATTAAAGAGACTTAACACAAAAAAAATCAAGGGTGAAATTTTAAGAGTCCCCCCTACCTTCACAAAACCTAAGAAAAACCCAAATGTTACTAGGAATGTAAGACTTGAAGTTATAAACCCCTTAAAAATAGAAGTGCATGGTGAAAACACTGATAGATCTTTTAAAATTATTATGAACACAAACCTTTTTTTTTAAAAAATGGATACCTGAACAAACCCACTAAAGCAAATTCAATAATCTCATTACAAAGTTCACAACTATAAATTTAACCATCACAAAAGATAACCCAACTCTTAATTTATGTTCAAGTCTCTTATTTTTGGCCACGTATGAAAAACTCATCCATGCGTTTACACACAGTGCGACAGTGAAATGACTCTCTTCCACTGGGTGTTTAAAAAAAAAAAATCAGCAGAAGAATGCTCCTTAAAGTGTCTTAAAAATCAGAGTAAAAAATTATTTAAATAACCTTTTGTCCTAGGAACACCTGCAATAAAAGCCATGTTTTCTGAGAAAATGATGCTGTTGACAACTTGACCACAAAAGCAAAATATTGAGGAAGCAAATCTAGATTAAGAGGCAGGAAGAATGCAGGAGTTAAATTTCATTAATTTATGAATTTATTAGTATACCAAGACCCCTAAACCTTGTTTCCCTTAGCTCGTGCTGCCAGCACGTGGAGGTTCACGCTGACAGACTTGACTTCTGATGGCTTTCATTTGGCATGTACAAAGTGTTAACTGCACATGGACCTCCTGAAACACACGGTTTCTCTAGTCCTACGGAGTCCCAGTCTCCTGCTTTAAGCAAGATGAGCAGCAAGCAGGAGGTTAGACCAACTAAAAAGACAAGAGCAAACTGAATAGTGTGGAAGCAGCATTTTATATACTTCCATCAAGGACAGGAAGGGAAATCAGTGAATGGAGCCAGAAAAGTAAGAGTCCTCTAGAAGCTACCAGGAACTGGGTTAGGGTGCAGTGTCCTACATAGCAGCATAAAGCAGAGATGTACTTCATATCATATTTCCATAAAGAAAAGGGAAGGTTGGAGTATGAACAGGTGAATGTTGTATTCCAAATGAAAAATAGAGAATGGTTCATGGGATGTGAGTGCACATTTATAAAACATAAAAGAATGTCAAATCTCCATTGTCATAAAGGAAAAATCTCAACTCTTTGTGACTACATTTCACATTAAGTGGAAGTTTATTTGCTTAAAATCTAAACATTGTCAGTTTAAGAAATCCACTGTGATGTGTGGGTTGATCTTGCCATTTAAGTTCTAGAGTGGTTTCCTTTTTCCCTTTTTTTTTTTTTAAATCCTTGGTAAAATTTTATCCAAAAAACAGGATACATACATACATACATATATTTTAAAACATGAACCATTAGAGAATGAAATGTGAAATCAAGAGTGATTTCAGTTTTAGCGGCCCCTGTGTTTTATCTTTTTTTTTTTTTAAGCTCCTTAAAGGCTGTAGCAGGATAAAAGGATCACTGGCTCCGAGTCTCTTTGAGATTAACAAGTGATGAAATAAGAAAGAAAGCTCACGTCTTCAAATAAATTCAGGAAACCCATTCCCCACCCTCCCCTCCCACGGTAAAAAATATGAGTACTTTTAGTAACAATTTAGAATTCATCTTTATCTCCTACCTGCCTCATCAGTGAAGTTTAAAGTCATGATTTTTTTTTAGACATTTATACTGTATATATAGACATATAAACTCATATTAGATGACAATCAATTTTTAAAAGTTCAGGTAGAGAAAGAAGCAATCACTTTTAACTAAAACCTTTCTATATTTTTTCGATTACTGTTCCATTTTGTTGTGTAGCAAAAAGCAAAGTTTCCATAGTGTTCACCTCAAATCTTATTGCTTTACAACTATGGTATACCTTCCATGAAAAATAAGATAAAGCAGTCAATCCAGTGATTAATTTGACATGGCTTTCATTGGAAAAGGGGGTGGTGGCAAAGAGAAGACCAACAGACAAAAAGGTAACTTAAACACACTTAAACATACACTGGTTTTCTTTAAAAAAAGAGAAAGAGAGAGAGAGAGATGTTATTTTCAACAAATGGAAAAAAGCACTGAAAGCCCATGAGTCAAGCCATAGCCAAAAACCATGTACTATCTTAAGTAGGTTCTCCTTTTTTTCCTCTCTTTTTTTCTTTTTTCTAATAAAATCTCTCCCCAAACCATCATCACTTTTAATCCTCCCCAGACTGGGCTTCATCTTCAGACCCTTCATCCCCAGATTTCTCAGGTGGGGGGCTTGCAGATGTTTTCTTTTCTGGAGGGCTTTCTGGTTCCTCATCTTCTTCTTTGGGAGAAGGAGTCTTTTCCTTGGAAGCCTTTGAAGCTGTGGGGCGACCCACTTTCCCTTTGCCTTTCACTGGACTTGGCGTCACTGAAAGAAGAAAAGTAACAATTTGGAGAGGGAAGGAAAAATGCCTTTAATAAAAATCAGCTACACAACACCTGTAAGGGGGTTGGTGGCATGGTGGTTAAGATGTTGGATTCCACAAGGTTTGTGTCCTGGACCTTGCAGTTTGAAAAACACACTGGACTGTGCTGTGGCCATTCTCCCACAGGGGGTGATTTCTCACTCTCTTTCTCTTTCTGGCAAATGCACACACTCTATGGCATAAAATAAATTAAGTCTAAAAAGAGAGAAAACTGCAAGAATAAAATTCATAAAAATAATTTATACATTATTTTTTTAAATTATAAATTTATCTAAATTCCCAAGCTGGTCATACTACAATAGTTTTCAATCTTTTTTTTTTTTTTTTTTGAGAGGTTTTTGCTATAGGGTGCGTGCGTTCGCCAGACAGACAGAGAGAGACAGAAAGAGAGAAATCACCCCCCCAGGGGGGATGGCCACGCCGCAATCCCTTCTCCATTCTCCTCTTGGGATCTTGGGCATGCACGCACACATGCCTGGTGTGAGTTTTAAGCCACCGGGTCCGGGATGCGAACCGCGGTTGACTACGTGGGAGTCAAGCGACATAGCCATTACGCTAACTGCTGGTCCCAGTTTTCAATCATTTTTAAATCAACACTAATGTTATGTTAGCAGAAATACTTACAATAAAGACTCACTATGCTACAGAGAATACACATCCTCCTCACTGGTTTGTGAACTAAAAGCTATTTACCATCAAAGTCATTCATGTTTAAAAACCAATTCATGAAGAGGGAAGGATATGACATAATCTGAGTAAAAACAGAAGCCACTGAATAACTTTTCTTTCTTTTCTTTTTCTGGTTATAAGGCATGTGTGCTCACTGGATAGAGGGAGAAAGAAAGTAAGGAAAAGTGAGATATAAGCACTCCCCAGGGGGGATGGCCATGCCTCAATCCCATCTTGATTTTCCTCTCTGGCTTTTGGGTACTCATGCACATACACCTGGAGTATTTTTCAAGTCGCCAGGTCTGGGACTCGAACTGCAGTCAGCCATATGGGATCCAGCCACCTTAACCTCTATGCCACCTGCTAACCTTCAAAAAAATTTAATAACCCTATCATTCCCAACAGTAAGAAGTGATGAACAAAGTTTAAAAATCACCAGCTCTATTTTCAGAATAAAACTACTTGAACAAAAAGCAAGTCCAGATTTCTTATTTAACTAATATACTAGCTCTAACTAGGAGACTATCTGGCAGAAAGCATTAGGGAGGGATCAGAGAAAGCAAATCCATGCTATGAAATATGGTTTTATACTGAAAGCACAGAAGATGGGGTTGAAACTGGAACATAGAAATAAAATGTATTACTGCAGGTTTGTACATTTTCACCATTTCAAGTCTTCACTAGCTATTAGGGCTGAGAGATGGGGAAGGGAGCAGGAGGCAGTGATTGCTATGTTGATAATGTATCTATCACTGCGAGTGAAACAAATAGGTCACTCCCAGATCTCGCTTATCATGTATGGTAGTAACTCAAGAACAGGGCTACTAAACACACCAGACTCTTTCTTGGAGGAGCTGGCGACAATACTTGCAGATACAGAAGGCAGGATTCTTTTAGATTTCTTGTATTCCTTCCTATTAAATACCCGGCCAATACCAAGGCCTAATGATGAATTTCTGTAGTGAAAGGATTGATTCTTGACATTTTTTAAAGCAGTAATTTCATTTCGTTTTTGCAGAGCTTACCTGTAGCCTTTAGCCGGGGTTTGGGCATTTTCTTTTCTTTTCTCTCAGGTTTGGCCTTCTTAACCATCTTTTTGTTTTTCTTTTTTGAACTGCCATAGTCACTATCGTCATCGTCTTCCATTAGGAAATCTTCATCACTGCCGGAATCTTCTGAGAGGAAAGAAGAATTTCAACGTCCAACTTAATGTACACATCCTTCCAAGTGAACAAAGGGATCGAGTGCTAAGAATGACTGGAGGATGGGACTCAGGAGTCAAACTCTTGGATTCTATTTGCAGCTGTATTACCAACTTGGCTGGAGTTGTCATGGGCCCCATCTGTAAAATGAGTGCAGCATTTACCTCACATGACCGCTATATGACTAACTCAATTGTAGAGATGGTTGAAAACAGGAAGGGATAAGACTTAATCTGAATAAAAATGGAAACCATTATTGCTTTTAGTAGTTTCATCATTCCCATGTAGTATTTGGTTGAGACCAGGGAAACAAAACTGAACTGACTTGGGATTTTTTGAGCAGTTACGAACAAATAAAACAAGAACTATATATAAGCAAAAATACATATTAATTGATTAGAATAACCTGCAAAATATCTGAAATCTGACACGAACATTTTTGTGGGGGTAGATAGTCTATATTCTCTGCCAGCCCAAAATATGAATCTCAACCACAACACCCAACCTGTTTTTGTTCCAGGCAGCCATGGCCAAAGCCTAGTGGTTAAAGGAGCTGGATTCCAGATGGCTGACCTAAGAGATTGAATCCTGGCCTAGCAGCTCAAAAAACTTGCTAGGCACATATATATGCATGCCCCAAATCCAGACAAGTGGAAGAAAAAGAATTGTGGTTTAACCACATTGGGGATGCTTTCTCTCTCTCTCTGATGAACACCAAAGGACTCTGGCAATGAAAAAAACTCATATGATAGAGCATGTTTATGTAAAAATGAGAGAGAGACAGACACACACATATACCCTCCACAGAGCTGGGTCACACTGCAACCTCCTTCCTCTGGTCTTCCAGCCCACTAGAATCTTGGGTATGTATGCATGTACCTGGTGTTTTCAGGCCCACCAGGTTGGGGTTTCAACCATAGTTGGCATTTGGCTTCCAACTCCACAGTCTGGGATACTACTAACTTCATCACAGAGGCTGTGCTAGAAGATGCATGTGCACATCAGAGAGAGACAAAGAGGGAGAAGAAAAAACATTCTCCAGGGGGAATGGTCACGCTGCAATCCTTGTCCCCCATAGGTCTCCTTTCCTTTTAGAATTTTGGGTCCTTACACACATGTGCCTGGTATGTTTTTCAAGCTGCTGGGTCCAGGACTTCAACTGCACAATTGGCCATGTGTTATTGAGCAGCCTTAACCACCAACCCATCGAGCTGGCCCTACTGGTCATCTCTTTTAATGGGGAGTATCTACCTAATTTAAGGTACTGGTTGTAACATTAAGCATCCTGAAAATGCCAAAGCATTCAAGGCCACAAACTATGACCATGCCCAAAGGACCAAAGCACACACATCAATTTCACATACTCTCCTGGAATGGTGCCTCATCCTCCTCTTCTTGTTCTTCCTCACTACCCACATCTTCCATGAGCATCTCTCTCTGTTTAGATGCTGCTTTAGATGCTGCCTGCCGCTGCTGGCGCACATTTTTATGATCTTCTTTTTCATCTTCACTGTCCTCTGCAATAGCAAAAGTTATTATGATGCAATGATTAAAGAGCTTTTTTACATTATTGTATTTGACAGCTGACTGAAAAAGCTACCACACTGGCCAATACAGAATAGAACCTGCAGCTCTATTTCATTTTACAGTAAATGGTAACCTTAAAAATTCCCGAAATACAAAAAGAGCTAAAATCTACAGAAAATGAACTTGAATAGGCCTATATACCCAATATTACATGTAAAACAACTTAGGCATACTTATTTAAGCAATAACAAAGCTGAAGTGTTAACACGTACTTCCTACAACATACTTCATACTTTTATTATCAGTTTGCCCTAAAATGATCAGTTAGGACTGGTCCCCATAGCCTAATGGTTAAGGGAGTTAAATTTCACATGGTTGACCAGTCTGAGCCTCAGACCTGACAACCTGAAACTCACGCTGGGTGCGTGTGCGTGCGGCCAGAAATCCCAGAAGGAGAATGTGGAAGGGCCATCTTCCCTGGATGATGATTTCTCACTTTCTCTCTGTTTCTCTCCCAGTGAGTGCACACGCCCGATGGCAAAAACCTAAAAAGAAAAAAGAAAAATACACTGTGTACATGTGCGTTCATATCCCAAATCCTGACAGGAAGGAGGACGTGCACTGTGACCACTTCCCACTGCAGGTTCTCTATCTCACTCTCTCTTGTAGAGTGTAACCATCCTTTGGCAATTAAAAATAAATAAAATGCTCAATTATATTAGAATTTATCTTCACTATTTTTACCATAGGGCGGGTGCCACCACGCCCTCTTCACTGTTTTTAGAAGCTGAAGTTAAAAAATAAAATATGAGAGGGGAAGAATGTCTTCCAGTGATCTTTATTCTAAGAGATAAAACAGGTAAATGCTAAAATAATGTCAAACTACTATCTTTACAATGAATGGGGTGTGACTATTTCAATTTAGAGGGACTAAAGGAAATCTTTGAAACACATTTTGAGATGAAAAGCTTACAAAAAACAATTTTCACATAGTATAGTCTATTAATTAAAACATTTTCTATACAGTTATATCTGTGAATAAATCTGGTTAAAGGGCAGGCTGTAGTCTATTAGCTCTGGATTAAGCTATATTTGCTTTAGTTTCTACCAATGGCCCTTTTTCTGGACTTTTGGGGTCCTTTATTTTGTTATGGTATAGCTATCACTCATCTGAAAATACTCCTAATTCTGTGAGCTTCGCCATGGTCAGGGTTCAAGTTATCACCTTTTCTTTTTCTTTTTGGTGCTAGAGGGCACAGATGCTCACCAGAGTAAGGGAGAGGAGTAAGCACATCCCGTGGGGGAACAGTCAAACTGCAGTCGTTTCATCTGGATTTTTGGGTGCACACACACACATGTACCTGGTATGTTTCTCAAACAGCTGGGTCTGGGACTCAAACTGCCTAGTGGCCATGTGGGATCCAGTTACCTTAACCATCAGGCCACAAAGCCAACCTCAAGTTATCACCTTTACTGCCAAAAGCCTCATCTAGAGACAAATAGAGAACAGAGCTGACCTTGGCAGACCCACAATTAAACCCACCTCATAGGAGCCATGCTTAATACTTGAGTACAACTATTCATCTTAAAGTGCTCAATAAAGTAATACTGTAAAGAGATTCTAATTAGGGTTCATAAAATCACTGTAAAAGGTTAATATAATTTCTTTTCCATCCTCTACAATTAACAAAACAGCAGTATCCTTTGAAGGTAGATCCAGGAAGACAACAGCAGAGGAATTTTGGTAAAAACTAATAAAAAATTAATGAATTTTATTTAGAGTTTTATTCCACTGGCTGGCAGCAATATAGAATAAAATTCTTAGTTCTTCTAAGAGTTGAATTTAAAAATAAATGCCAACAATAAGTAACCAGAATTGAACATATTCTTTGGTCATGGAACCTCTTCATTAATTCACATTAGTCTTTAAGTTAAAATCTTTATTTTAAAAAAAAGCTTTTTCTATGGCTACAGTTTTAAAAGACTGTTTCCCAGTTAAGAATGGAATTAAAACTAATCTTCGCTTTATAACCCAGAGCTAAGCACCTCCCCTCCCCCCTTTTACCTCTATTTCACCTAATATTTATATGCGCAGACACACAAACCATAGAGACTTACTTTAAAAACAAAAAGACCAAGTCTCAATGTCCCACCTAGACCTCCTGAATCAGAAATCTTGGGGTAAGACTCTGAATCTATATTTAAAAAAATGTTCATAGGAGACTGTAATAAGCCACCAGGACATAAAACTACTATTAGCTCTTTGAAAACAGAGACATCTTTGTTACTCCAGTATTTGCAACAGTGCCAGCACACAAAATTGCTTGTTAAAAAATCTAATGAATATATGAGTATAAGTATACCTTTTACATTAAAAATAGTTTACTACCTGCTGAATGAGAATCATCCTTCTTGGTCTTCACATCTTTCTCTTCCGAATCCTCACTATAAAGGGAAGAGAAAAAAGTACATGTTTAAAAGTCTTAGTTCAAAGTCTAAGTAGACATGGATCTCTAATATCTAGCTTGAGAAGAACACTGAAAAATTTCTTTTATGGGAACCAGCAGTTAGCGTAATAGCTATGTCGCTGGACTCCCACGTAGTTGACCGCAATTCGCGTCCCGGACCCGGTGGCTTAAAACTCACATTGGGCGCGTGTGCGTGCGTGCCCAAGATCCTGAGAGGAGAATGGAGAAGGGATTGTGGCGTGACCATCCCCCCTGGGGGGTGATTTCTTGCTTTCTGTCTCTATGCCTCACTCTGTCTGTCTGGTGAGCGCAAGCGCCCTATAACGAGAACCTCTCAAAATAAATAAATAAATAAATAATTTTCTTGTATATATAAAATATCTAAACAAGCGCTAACGGGGACCAGCAGTAAGTGTAATGGCTATGTCGCTGGACTCCCACGTAGTCAACCGCTGTTTGTGTCCCAGACCCAGTGGCTTAAAACTCACGCTGGGCGCGTGTGCGTGCATGCCCGAGATCCCGAGAGGAGAATGGAGGAGAAGGGATTGCGGCATGGCCAATCCCCCTGGGGGGTGATTTCTCGCTTTCTGTCTCTCTGTCTCTGTCTGTCTGGCGAGAACATGAGCCCTGTAGCAAAAAAACCCTTTAAATAAATAAATAAATAAACAAATAAACAAACAAACAAGTGCTAATGGTGGAACTGCTTCTATTATTTCTTCACATTATAGGGATGCTGTTAAATAAGCCCAATTTTATCTACTTTGGAAAACACTGTTTCTAAGGGCACAAAGGAAAAAAAAGGGGGCATCGGAACACAGGCTGAGAATTTCTCACCTAGACATAAGGCCTAGTTCTTAAGAACACTTAATAAAAAAGAACCTCCCCTCGGGACTAGTAGTTGGTGTAATGGCTATGTCACTGGACTCCCATGTAGTTGAATCCCGGACCCAGTGGCTTAAACTCATGCTGGACACATGTGCGTGTGTGCTTAAGATCCTGAGAGGAGAATGGATGAGATGGAATTGTGGCGTGGCCATCCCCTCTTGGGGGAGGGGGGGTGATTTCTCGCTCTCTGTCTCTCTCTGTCTGTCTCTCTGGCGATCACACGTGCCCTATAGCAAAAACCTCTCCAAAAGAAAATAATAAATAAATAACCTCCCCTTCCCTACTGACCCTGTGGCCTAGTGGTTGGAGAAACTGGATCTCACACAGCTGACTGGTTTGAATCCCAGCCCTGGTGGCTTGAAAAACACACTGGATATGTGCATGTCCAAAGTCCTGACAGGATAGAAAAATGGAGAAAGGATCGCAGCATGCCCATGCCCTAGTGGGGGGATGCGTTCTGCCTGTCTCACTTTCTCTGTCTAGTAAGCATACATGCCATATTAAAAAATCTGGCAATTAAAGAGGAAAAAAAATAGCCTCTATGGATAGAGGCAGAGTATATTACTACTAATTATATCTTATTGGTGACAAACTAGGCAACCAAATATCACTAAATATGAGAGATTTCAAAAAGTTCATGGGAAAATGGAATTATGAGCTTATGTTGGTGAAAACATCTTTTGAAATGTATGGCTAGTTCTTTCTATAATTCACATTTTCCATGAACTTTCTGAAGATTCTGGGGACCAGCAGTTGGTGTAATGACTATGTCGCTGGACTCCCACGTAGTCGACTGTGGTTCTAGTCCTGGACCTGGTGGCTTAAACTCACACCAGGAATGTGGGCTTGTATGCCCAAGATTCTGAGAGCATGGAGGAGAAAGGATTGCGGTGTGGCCATCCCCCTGAGGAGGTGATTTCTTGCTTTCTGTCTCTCTGTCTTTCTTTCTGGTGAGTGCATGTACCCTATAGCAAAAACCTCTCCAGAAAAAAAGAAAAAAAGATTCTGATATAGTGGGACTGGCAGGTGGCATGGTGGTTAGGGGCGCTGGGCTCCCACATGGTCGACCGTGGTTCAAGTCCTGGACCTGGCAGCTAGCTTTCTCACTTTCTCTCTTTCTTTCTCTGTCCCTCTCTGGTCAAATTAAAAATAAATAAATAAATAAAGTTGAATAAGATAATTCTTAAAAAAAAAAAAAAAAACGATTCTGATATAGATGCAAAATCCCCAGACCTATAATTCCCCAAATCATTAAAGGAAATTAGAGCTCAATTATGTAACTTACAAATGTGTCTAACAATTTAAGACAAAATCAAAATGAATCAGTTTAATTATTTCCCCGTTAATTTTTGTTTGTTTTTTTGTTATAAGGTGTGTGTGCTTGCTGGAGAGACAGACAGAAAGTGAGAACCCCACCCCCACGGGAATGGCCACTCTGTAATCCTTTCTCCTTTATTCTTCTCATGGGATTTTTTTTTTTGGGGGGGGAGGAGATTTTTGCTATAGGGCACATGCGCTCTCCAGACAGAGAGACAGAAAGCGAGAAATCACCTCCCCAGGGGGGATAGCCATGCTGCAATCCCTTTCCCTCCATTCTCTTAGCAGGATCTTGGGCACGCACACACACACGCACCCAGCGTGAATTTAAGCCACTGGGTCCGGGACTCGAACCACGGTCAGTCACGTGGGAGTTCAGCGACATAGCCATTATGCTAACTGCCGGTCCCTCTTCATGGGATTTTGAGCTTGTCTGTACATAATCCTGGCATGGTTTTCAAGCCACAGAGTTGGGGACTTGAACCATGAAGCTGGCCATGTGGGATCTAGTCCCTTTAACCACTGCACAGAATAATCTTAGGCTCACTTTTATTTTCTCCATGGTACGTGGTACTCAAGGTCCCTTAAATAAAATGGCACAATATTTGCATATAATCTACACACATCCTTGTGTACACTTTAAATTACCTCTAAGATTACATTTAATATTTAATACAATAAAAATGTTATGCAAATAGTTGATATACTGCATTGTCTAGGGAATAGCAATGAGGAAAAATGTGCTCAGTATAGATGTAATCAACTTTGCCCCCGAGTATTTTCTTTTATTTTTTTAAGAGATTTACTATAGGGTGGTGAGTGTACTCACCAGAGAGACAGAGTGAAAAAAAGTGGGAAATCACCCCACAGCGGGGATGGCCACACCACAATCTCTTCTCCTCCATTCTCCTTTTGGATTTTGGGCATGCACATACACCCGGAGTGAGTTTTAAGCCACTAAGTCCGGGACTCAAACTGCAGTCAACCACATATGAGAGTCCAGCAACATAATTGTTATGATATCTGCTGGTCCCTCCCCAAGTACTTTCTTTTCTTCCTTTTTCTTTCTTTTTTAAAAAAATAATTATTATTTATTTTTTTCCATCATTTTTAAATTTGACTAGAGAGAGACACACAGAGAGAGATAGATAAAAGAGTTTGAAAGCAAGCTGCCAGTTCTGGGACTCAAATTATGGTCAGCCATGTGGGAGTCCAGCGCCCCAACTACTACGCCATCTACTGGCCTCTCTCCCCAAGTATTTTCAATCTATAGTTAGTTGAATCCATGAATGTGGAACCCATAAATATGGAGGACTAACTGTATTTGGAAACCTAATGATTAAGAAATGACCCTGGAGTCCAAAATATATGGTTTCAAAATTTGTTGTCCATTTACTACGTAACCTTGTGTTAAATCACTGAGTCCTTGTAAATTAATATAGTAAGTATCACTTAGTCTAACAAAGGATTAAATGACAATTTAATTAATTTAATATCATATATGTTAAGTACATAATAAAAACTGACATGTAATAGTAATAAACATTAAATTTAACATCAAGGAAGTATTAAAGTTATGCTACACTGAGACTGTATGTGTATACCTTTAAAATAGAGGTAAAAATGACAATACCCTGCTCTCACGCAGCAAAATTATAGTTAAAATTACAAGTCTCATAAACCCATTTGTAAAAACTAAAGGAAAAGAACTTCCCGAAGTGATTAAATTATTTACGCAGTTCAAAGTTGATCATAAGGCAGTAAAATTCAGCAGTCTTTAAAACTTAAGATTCTATAAGTTTCAGTTAAAAATTTTGCTAGTGAAGTGTGAATGAACGGGAAACGTCACTTAGTATTATTGTCACTACAGTGAAAGTGTCAACTCTCACCTTAGGTAACAAATTATACAATTAGCCTGCTGATGTTCAAAAATTTGAGGTGGCAGCAAAGGCACTGTTGGAGACCTTGAATTCAAGGTGGATCCAACCAAGTTCTATGATTTGAAAGAGGCTCACCTCTAGACCCAGAAGCCTACCCTGAGATAGTAAGAAATATGCAAAACATTAAATGGAAAGTTGAGGACTTTCCAAAAGTAAATGGAGCTTCTGCCAATATAGAGATTAGAGACTGTCCATTGCAGAGGGTGACAGTGGAAGCGGAAATAGGAAAACAATGCTTCTTACCTATCTTCCTGTGAATTCTTTCCAGATCGTCTCTTATTTTTAGCTTCTCGGGGAGATGATCGAATTTTCTTAGCAGGAGGGCCTGAATCTCTTCCATAATCTTCATCTAAATAGAGCATTTTTCAAGTTCAATGATTATGACATGTTAAAGTCACAACTGTATTTAATGACAGAATTATTTCTCATGCCATTTAAAAAATTTTAAAAATACCTTCTTGATTCACGTGTGCATGCATGTAAAAGTGAGAGTGAAAGGAAGAGAGAGGCAGAGGAGAACCTTCTAGAGGGTCTAGTCACACTATGATCTCTATCCAATCCTCCAGCCGGTTGGATCCTGGGTACTCCCTTGAAGTGCTCAGCATGTTTTATACTGACCAGGTTGGGGGATTTGAACCATGTTTGCCCTATGGGATTCAGCTTCTCTTGAGCAGTGCACTACTGCTGGACCATGGAACTGGCCCTCTCATGTAATTTAAGTGGTGAGTGGGGTGGGATTGACCAAATAGATAATTTTATCTTAAAAAATGAAATAGTCTTCCACCCAACTCCATTTTTGCATATTATCCTTTAGTCCTTTTGGATATGTATTTTATATATCTACTGCCAAATATCTCTTTTCATTTTATATCCTATCTCTTAATTTTTTTCATATTTTAGTGTCTTTGTACTTAAGGTTATTACAGTAATATGGCTATAAGAATTTTAGAAAGTAAAATTCTATAATCTTAACATGATTACCATTAATTATCAAATTACTTTTAAAATAAAACATTAAATATAATATACACTGATGCACTTGAGGAAAATATTTCCAGTTTTAAAAGCCATTTTAAAACTAAAAAGAAATCAGGCCAGCCAGTGGTGTGGTGGCTAAGGTAGCTGGATCCCACATTTCTGACTGCGAGGTTCAAGTCCTGGATCCAATGGCTTGAGAAATACACCACATGTGTGTGCATGTGTGCCCAAAATCCTGAAAGGAGAGAGAAATGGAGGAGAAGGGACTCTGGTGTGACCATCCTCAATGAGGGATGCTTTCTCACTTTCCTTTGCTCTTTCTCTAGCAAGTACGTGAGCTCTCTGGCAAAAATTAAAAACAAAACCTAAAAAACAAAAACAAACAAACAAAAAACACTAAAGAAAATCACCTCACCTTAAAACCTGACTATTTCTAAAACTGTTTACTGCACCATTATATACAGTGGCTAGAAACTGGAAGGAGTTTGGGGCTTCAGCAATTATTAAATGATTGTTATTTGTTATCTCACTGTAGAATATCATAATCAACAATAGGAAATATTTAGGTGTGTTTTTTTCTTTCCTTTTTTCTTTTTTTTAAAGAGATTTTTGCTATAGGGCAAGTGCACTTGCTGGAGAATTCTCACAGAAAGTGAGAATTCACCCCTTAGGAGGGATGGCCATACCACAATTCCTTCTCCTCCACTCTTCTCCCAGGATTTTGGGCACGCATACACATGTGCTTGGTGCAAATTTTAAGCCACTGGGTTTGGGACTTGAACTATGATCAACTATATGGGGGTCCAGTGATATAACCATCTGCTGGTCTCAATTTTGGGGTAATTTTTAATAACACAAGACATTCATAAGTAGGGATGGAAGGGGACGGACTTACGAACTCTGTAACAAGACCTCAACTACACTTCAAATTAAACCATGAATTAACTCACTGTATTTTTAAAAGAAAAAACAAAAACAAAAACAAACATAAAAGGCTAGGAGTTAGCTAGGCCTGATAGCAAGCTTGTAGTCCCAACTACTCAAGAGGCCGAAGTTGGAGGGTTGTAAATTCATGGCGAGCTGAGGCCATATAGTGAGATCTTGTTTCTTAATTAAAAAAACAAAAACAAAAACAAAAACAAACAAAACAACAAAAAAAACAGTCAACTGTGGTTCAACTCCCAGACCCAGTGGCTTAAAACTCATGCTAGACGAGTGTGTATGCATGCCCAAGATCCTGAGAGGAGAATGGAAGAGAAGGGATTACAGCGTGGCCATCCCCTCTGGGGGGGGGGGGCGGGATTTCTCTCTCTCTCTCCAGTGAGTGTATGCACCTATAGCAGAAATCTTTCTTTCTCCAAAAAAAAAAAAAAAGGCAAATGTACCTAGAAAATAAAAAGGAGATTAAGGACACAACTCTAAAGAAACCTCTTATGGCTAAGATTCAAGATACACTACTCATTCTATGATGAATTAATTCATCAAAGTTATTCATGGGATTGGCAGGTGGTGTGGTAGTTAAGGGCGCTGGACTCCCCACATGGCTGACCGTGATTCAAGTCCTGGATGGACCTGGCGGCTTGCTTTCTCTCTCTCTCTTTCTGGTCAAATTAAAATAAAGTTAAATAAAATAATTATTTTTTAAAAAAAGTTATTCACAAGATAGTCTCCCATCATGATTGCTTTATTATACAAAAAACCTTAAATGCCCGCAATACAAGTTTTATTGGGATAATAGCAGGAGATATACTGGACATTTAAACTTTAGACTCCAAAACTAGGTAAGAAAAAAATGATTCTAATGTTTATTATTAATGATTTACTAAGTAAAAGTTAAAACCCATGCTTTGTTTTGGCTGACAAATCTTGACATAACTGAGATAAATATTCTAATAAAAAATTAAACTTATTCCAAATCATGATTAAAAAAATATATAAGTTGGCGATTCCTCCACTCAGCAATTCAATTTGAAGTCTGTTGAAATCATAAAACTTACCTGCATCATCAGATTCCTGAAACTGTGAATAATCGACGACCTTCCTATTTCTGTAGAAAGAAGAGACTAATTAAGATCATAAAAAATGTAGGACTTTTCTAAGATAGCAAAATGCATGTTCACTCCTATTTCATAACACTACTAGCTTTCTGAAAGTTTTTTAACAGCCCCATTTTGCCAAAAACTTCATAGTTTTTTATAAATGCAGCTTAAGCCCAGAGTATTTTATTTTTTAAAAAGAATTATTTTATTTAACTTTATTATTTATTTATTTTCATTTGACAGGAGAGGGACAGAGTGAGAGAGACAGATAGAGAGGGAAACTGAGAAAGCAAGTTGCCAAGTCCAGGTCAGCCATGTCGGAGTCCTATCGCCTCAACCACCACACCACCTGCCCACTGCAAACCCAGAGTATTTCAAACTACAATTCTCATATTACTAATCTTGGTGATGATACCTATCAATCAAATACCATTCTTCTTCACAAAACAACCCACCTCCTGAAACACAAGTACATAAAACATAAAAAGGAGTCCAACCAGTATGTATATTATCAAAGATGTCACATTTACAAGTCAAAATTGTAATTGCTATTTTATTCTTATTGCTAAATAAACACATAGATGTATACTTGCATTACTAAGGTTTTGCTGTGAGGTAAAAGAATTTTGAGAGTATATAGTACTAATATAATACACACAAAAATTATAGCATATCTAAGTTAAGCCTTACTCAAAAGCAGAAGGAAAAATATCCAGCTGCCTTAACCACTATGCTACCAGCTGGTCCTAAATTGTACTCTTAAAAAAAATTGGTTAAGACAATAAATTTTAAGTATATTAAAGTATATTTAAGAAAAAAAGATATTGCTTTTTAAAAAAGTGACTTTTAAAAAATCCAGTGTGGGGGCCACAGAGGCTAAGGTGCTGGATCCCACAAGATGGGTGTGTAGTTTTGAGTCCCAGACTGGCAGCTTTAATAATCATGCTTGAGAAGAGACTGTACTGTGGCCATCTCTCACCTTTCCCCCAGCTTCTAAGTGGGGGGTATTTCTCCCTTTCTTTTGAGTGCACACGCCCTACACCAAAATCAAATAACAAAAATCCAGTATTTTGGGTCTGCTATGGAAATGCATATCTTGTTCTGGCAAAATACGGCATTTTAAATTACAAATGCCATGAAAAACAGCATTATTCTTCATAATGTAAAGATGACCATTTGCTGCAAGGGTGAAGGAAAACAGAACTTGGAACTATGAGAAAGTATCCAGAAGAGTTTTTTTTTTTTTTTTTTTTTAACTGTTAGAGAGTACATGTGTTCGCTAGAGAAAGCATCCTCCAATGAGACATGGGTCATGCTAAGAGTGATTCCTTCATTTCTCCATCCTGTTGAGATATTAGACATGCACGCACATCTGATGTGTTCTCAAGCTGCCAAGCCAGGATTTGAATCACACAATTGGCCATGTAGGATCCAGTTCCTTTAACCACTAGGCCACAGGGCTGGTCAAAAGTGTTACATTTAAAATTTCTAATTATTATTGTACAGTTTTTGGGCAGGCATAGTAAATTTTAGTTTATCTCATGTATGTGAAATGGCAACTAAAATATTATTCAATTTCTGGGTACCATATAGCAACAGGTATATCCTTATAGAGATTACATTAAAAGCAACTAGAATAGTGAAGCACTTTACATATGAAGAACTGAATAAATTGAGAATATTTATTAATAACTAGCAAAAAGAAAAATAAGCCAGCTACTTTAAGGTTTTGATATAAATGAAGTTAGTGACAGACTACGTGAGTTCAACATAAAAAACTTTGTTGGGACCAGCAGATATCATAATGGCTACCTCACTGGACTCCCATGTAGGCAACCATGGTTTGAGTCCTGACCCGGTGGCTTAAACTCACGCTGGGCGCATGTGCATGCATGCCCAAGATCCCAAGAGGGGAATGGAGGAGAAGGGATTGTGGCATGGCCATTCCCCTTGGGTGTGTGTGATTTCTCGCTTTCTGTCTCCATCTTTCTGGCGAGCATACACACTCTATAGCAAAAACCACTCCAACAAGAACAAAAAAACCACAACTTCATTAATGATGGCTACTTCTTTAGTTTTATGAGAAAAACCTCAGAAAGGACCACAAGAAATATGGGAAAGCAGGAAAATACCTCTCCTCCAAGGGAAAAGGATAACTCTTCTTCATCCACACACAGTTCAATGAAAATCATGGAAATGTCTGATAAAAAATTCAGAACATTCATAATGGCAAAGCTAACAGAGATGGAAGAGAAGAGAGACAATGAACTGCTGCAGAAAATAGAATCTCAGATGTAGAAGAGAAAATTGCTGGCCTAGAAAAATCCACCATGAAGACTGAGAAAATGGCTCAGAAATTTGAGAATAATATACGAGAAATACTAGATACAATTAAACGTCCTAACATCCGGATAATAGGCGTCCCAGAAAGCGAAGAAACTCATAAGGGCATTTATAATCTATTCCATGAAATCCTGTAAGACAATTTTCCAAACCTGGAGAGGCACTCAAAGATTCAGTCCCAAGAAATACAGAGGACCCCCAAATAGAATCAATCCAAGAAGATCTTCTCCAAGACACATTATAGCCAGATTGACCAAAAGCACAGTCAAAGACAAGATACTAAGATTGGCAAGAGAAAAAGGCAAGTTACCTACAAAGGCTATCCCATCCCATTAGAGTAACAAGCGGACTTCTCATCGGAAACAATGTGAGCAAGGAAAGAATGGGAAAATATATTCAAAGTGTTAAGAGAAAAGCAATTTCAACCGAGAATTCTGTACCCAGCAAGATTATCATTCATTTGGGAAGAAAAGACACGAACATTCCCAAATAAACAAAACCTGAAAGAATTTACCAGCACCAGACCAGATCTCCAAGAAGTTCTTAAGGGAGTGCTATGTCAGTAAAATTAAATGCAGACACACAGAAATAAGAGTTCAAAAACTAAGAAAATGGGAACTTAATTGGGACAATGTCTGGAGATGAATATTATATCCCAGAATTCAATCCAGAAGATTGAACCACAACAGAAGATTAAGTACATGAGACTGAACTGATGAAACATTCTGTGACTTGCTTAAAATATTGCTGCTTTTCTTCTAAGCGTTGTTGTCCGGTTTTAAAGGATTTTTGTCCTATCTTGAGCTGTCAATAGGTTCATGTACCTACTATTTGAACAGAATACTAACCTGTTTCTAGGCTTTAAGTTTCAAGGAAATATCGTTACCAGGTCAAAACCGCTTTTCTTGAAACTACCAGCTGAACTTGCTATTGAAAGTAGTTAGATTACTTATGATATTGTGTGATCAATAAAATGTTGGGGGAAAAGGAATTGAAGACAACTGTATATAGCAGAGATAGTGTAACAAGAGAGTGGGAAAGGGCAGAGGGTCAAACATGGGGTAAAAAACATATATACATATATATGAAAGTAGAAATGGAATATTATTGATAACATGCATGATTAAGCCACTATGCAGTTTATTCTAGATGGGAAACCACATTTAGTATGTTGTGATGATGCTCAGGGAATGAATGTTAAGTAATTAAAAAAAGTTTCAGGAGAAAAAAAAAAACAGTAAAACTGTTCTTATCAAAATTTTTAAAAAAAGCATATTTGATGACTGCAGTAAGCAGTGAACAATGCTGTCAAACATAAACATATATTTAATTACTGATACCCCAAAGCACAAATCATTTTCTTACATTAAACCCAATAGACTTTTAGAGACCACTTACTCTATTGTTTACCTCAATTAAAGCTCACTATACTGTTACTTGTACCCTGAAGAAGTTAATGTCTGGTCAATGCGGGAAAGGGGAAAAAAAAACCCCCAAACTTATCTTCCTAATTTTCTAGAATCTAGTAAGCTGTTCATAAGAAACTTAAAACTTTTCAAAACTCAGACTCAGGGAGAGATGGCATAGCAGCTACGTCACTGGACTCTCACATGGCTGACCCTGGTGCAAGTCCTGGACCCAGGAGTTTCAAACTCAAGGCAAGTATATGCGTGTGCATGCCCAAGGTTCTGGGAGGGACTGCAGTGTGGTCACCCTCCCTATGGGGGTGGTGGTGATTTCTTGCTTTCTCTCATGACTGTACACATCCTATAGCAAAAGTCTCTGAAAAAAACCAAAAAGCCCCCCCAAAACAAAAACAACTCAGATTTAGCCAACATCTCTTTTTACTACTTACTTACATGGTAAACATCCCATTTTATCAGATGAATTGAAATCCCATAGAACATTTTTTTTTTAAGTTTTTTTGTTTTGCTAGAGGATGTGTGCGCTAGCCAGACAAAAAGCAAGAAAGCCACCCCAGGGGTGGGGTGGGGGGTGACCATGCCACAATCTATTCTCCCTCCGGATTTTAGGCATGCATACACATGCACCCAGCATGAGTTTTAAGCAGCTGGGTCCCAGACATGAATCGCAGTCAACTAGAATCACAATCAACTACGTGGGAGTCTAGCAACATAACTGTTATGCTATCTGCTGGCTCCTCCTACAGAACATTTTAAAATCGATAGGTTACAATTTACTAATAGGTCCTGAAATGAATACATTGAAGCATTTAAAAGCAGGGATGGGAATATAAAATGTAAGAAAATTCTTATCAACTCCCAAACTTGTTTCAGGTGGTATTTTGTGCAGCAGATTGAAATATAAAAAATATTTCTTACTATAGCACCACCAAAACCGTGGGAACTGCAGTTTATAATAAAAAGTGGATTAGAGGAGACCAGAGTATGGCGTAATGGTTACATTGTTTAACTCCCACATAGTTGACTGAGGTTCAAGTCCTGGACCCAGGAGCTTAAAACTCTCTCTGGATACATGGACACACTCCTGATAAGAGAAGGGATTGCAGAGTGGCCATCCCCCACTGGTGGGTGATTTTTGCTATAGGGTGCATGCGCTCACCAGAAAGACAGAGAAACAGAAAGTGAGAAATCAATCCCACCCCACCCCCCGGGGAGGGGTGGCCCTGCAGCAATCCCTTTTCCTCCATTCTCCTCACAGGGTCTTGGGCATTCACGCACATGTGCCTGGCGTGAGTTTAAGCCACTGGGTCCGGGACTTGAACCGCAGTAGACTACATGGGAGCCCAGTGACATAGCCATTATTCCAAATGCTGGTCCTATGATTTTTTTTGCTTCTGTCTTTCTGGCAAGGGCACATGCCCTATAGCAAAAAAAACAAAACAAAAACCTCTTTAAAAAAAAGTGGATTGCCAAGAGGTTTCTTAAGTAATTTAGTTTTCTCTTTATAAAAAAGTTTTATTGATAAACACACACACAAAAATGGCATCCCTTCTTATGCTGGTCTCAAAAAAATTGTTTAAAAATATTAATATTCGA